CCTTGTAGATTTTATTAGGTGGTTGCAAGTCATTCATGACTAAATGGAACTTAGGTCAAGTGAATATCCAGTTCTCCCAGGAAAAGAGTGAGCTGACTGGGGAATGTTTGGCACAGGTTTAAGGTCTTTTGGACAAAACCGCTCTGTGGAAGAAAGAGCCAGGCCGTAATGTCCGGGCTGATCAAGTTGTTCCAGATTATCCCATTCAACAGTTACACTTCTTAACCTTCTGTCTCTAAAGGTGACAGTGTTCTCTGCATCAATATTCTGTCTGCCTCTCACATCCCACTGTGGGACCCAAACCAATTCTTTCTTGAAACAGAAGGCAAATGGACACAAGGCTGATGACCGGACACTCAAACTGGACCTGAGGCTTTGGGTCAGCTCCTCACACTGCAGCTTATTGCACAGGACACAGGAAGGCTACAGCAATCCAGCCTAATGCCCCACTTTGATAGTGGAAAAATAAACCTTACTCCTGCCCTCACTTCTGTCTTTTCTATTTGGATTGCCTGCTCTTCAGAGTTAAAAGATACCAAGGGTAAAGGATCCAGCACAGCAGCTCCTCATTTTCTAGATGCCCTCCAACACAAAGACAACTAAAATAACCTTGGGTTAGTCACAGTTATTCAGAGGCAAGCGAGCAAAACAAGGTATTTTAAACAGTGCCAAAAATTGATAGAAACCCCAGATGGAAAACTGTACTTTTCATAAAGAAAAACACAATTGAGGAAGAGAATTTGTGTCTCCTTTCTTCCCCAGTATCAGACACTATGAATATAACCATCAACAATTAATACTAGCTCTTCTTTCAAAGACACACCAATTTAACACCAACACAAATGCTGGTAACTTGATTTCAAGGCAGACAATGGATTTAAAGTGGGCTTACCCTGCTCCAGTAGCTGCTCTTGAATTTCAGCTCCACTCATTTAATTTTACTGGAAATCTCTTTCAGAAAGCCCTTCAAATCAGAGAGCTTAAAAAAAAAAAAAAAAAAAAAAAAAAGGAGGAGGTTATTTTTGTAAAGTCCATCTAGCTGAAGGAATGCAATGCTAATGAGCAATGAAAGTAACAAGTAATTGCCTCTGCAAGTATTACACCAAATGCAAGAGTGCTTGAGAGGACAGTCCCAAGTACAGTGTTCATCAGGGCAATTAATGCAGCGAGTCCTGATGCCTCTATTTCAGAGAGTTAACCAGCAGTTACCAGAAGAGAGAAGCAAGAGATGGGTATTTCTTTTCAGGAGAGAATTAAGGTTAGCAGATCTCCTTTCAGTTTCAAGAAAAGCATCACTAGCCACAGACTCACTCACCACTTCCCTTTCAGTCTGGAAGCAAGCTATTATTTTGCAATCTAAATTATTTGACAGTAACAAAAAAAAAAGTACTCTGAAGTATATGTGGGTCTTTTCACCTGAGCTTCTGGAAAAGTCTTTGCTTCATACCAAAGCCACTTCTCACTTCAGAGGCCAAACAGATAATTCAGTCAAGCCTCAGAAAATACCCACTGTGAACACACATACCCATTTCAACATCACAGTCATAAAAAGATTATTTGCATGGCAATTCTCATAATGTGCTCTCTGGTAGATGGGTAGCCTTATATTGCTTAATTACACCAGGCCAACACCACCAGAAGCTAAACTTGACAGACACCTTTGCGATGGGGACATGTCAAGTGTGTGACATCCCTTCTTCCCACTGGCATTTCATGGACCTGTTATACAGCTGAATGTTGCAGTTTAAGATGTAAATTACTTCGTTTTATTCCATCCCACAAGGAATATTGAGAAACACTCCTCCAGTGCTAAGCAAGTGTCTTTGTTTCATTTTCCTGCATCATATAAAGCTCTTGTGGCTTGGAAGGGACCTCACAGCTCATTGTTGGCTGCTCCAACCCCATCCAGCCTGGCTTTTGATACTTCCAGGGATCCAGGGGCAGCCACAGCTTCTCTGGGTACCCTGTGCCAGGGTGGGCCCAAACTCACAGCCAAGAATTTTTTCCCATTATCCCATCTAATCCTACTCTCAGTTCAAAACCATTCCCTTCTGTCCTAATCACTACACGCCCTACACACTCCTATCTGTGGAATCAAAAGAGCACGGTAAAAAAGCTCAATTAAAATGGGGCCCTGGTGACAGTGACACAGACTGCACACGACTCTGGGAGGCTCATTTTCCTTGCCATGGCACACCCCCTGCTTTACCAGAGAGAATCACATTCCCCGGAGCAATCTGGGACAGAAGTACCTTTGAATCCAGTTGTCTGAATCGGTGCACCATCCTAGAAGCAGAAGGAGAACACGGAGCAATGGGGTCAGTCTGGATACCAAGGAAAACTTGGCTAATTACCACACCCCCACTCCCTCCAGTGCTCCATCCTCCCAGGGAGGCAGGGCTGCATGTGACTGGCATAATTTTTAGTACAAGTAAATTAACTAACATGCAAATTACTATTAGTAGGATGCTATTACATTTTCCTTCTCAAGACATTTTTGCTTCCAGTACCAAGGAAATGTTTTTGGTATTTGTTCGGCTTCTTATGCAATGCTGCTTGTCTCTGGGTAGTCTTAACCTGAACACTTATTTGTGGACAGCAATGTTCATGCCCACAGATATGGAAGGGTCTGTTTTTTCTTGTCCATTCCTATCAGCTCTCTCTGATTAAGGGAAATATTCAAGCTGCCAGAAGTTAGCAAAGTTAAGCAATCATACAGAGCAGGTTTAGTTCTCTAGCAGTGTTCTGGTTTCTTGCTTTCTTTCGGTTTTTGTTGTTTTTTTTTCCTCTTATACTGTTACTCTTAAAACGGTGAGACAGATCCCATAGATAATGTTTCCATGAGCTGGCAGTCAAAGAAATATCCAAGCATAAGTCTCCAAAGTTTCAAATACCATGATTCTAAAGATCATCTTCCCCGCCTCAGAAGTCTCCACAACTCATGCTACTAATTACACATCTCCATTTGGATTACTGCTGTGGGAATGTCTGAGATTCCAGGTCTAACAGTAAACATTCTCTGCTAAATGTAAAATCATAGAATTATTTGGGTTGGAAAAGATTGAGTCCAACCAATTCCACCACTAACTCATGTCCCCAAGTGCCATATCCACATGGCTTTTAAATCCCCACGCCAAGATGGGGGTGCCACCACTGCCTTGGGCATTCTGTTTCAGGGCTGGACAACCCTTTCTATAAAGAACTTTTTCCAGCCATCCTGTGGTGGCTTTTACCATTGTGAGCACATGGCGCTTGCCTTGGCGTGTCTGGGGCAGTGTGATGTAGTCAATCTGCCAGGCCTCCCCATACTTGTACTTGGACCACCGCCCACCATACCAGAGGGGCTTCACTCGCTTGGCCTCCTTGATCACAGTACACGCTTCACAGTCATGGATCACCTGAGAAATACTGTCCATGGTTAGATCCACCCCTTGGTCTTGTGCCCACTTACAGGTGCCATCTCTGCCCTGATGGCCTGAGATATCACTGGCCCATTGTGCTCGTAGCAACAGCCACTGTTTGAGGCTTACAGTCTGGTTTAGCTCCTAGCTTAGGCTCACAGTCTGGTTTAGCTGCTGGCTTTGAGCTTGGGCTGTTGGCTGCAGCCTGAGTGACTGGGATAGCTGCTGATTTATCTCCCTGCCCCCCTTCCTCTGTCTGCTGCCCTACAGTATCTAGCAGGGTGCGATAAGCATATGCCAGGGCCCAGAACGCTGCAATGATCTTTTTCTCCTTAGACTTACCATGGCATTTCTCTTTCAGGTACTCTGCCACCTCAGCTGGATTCTGAATTTGTTCACATGGGAAGTCCCAGGCTATAGGGTCAGAAAATTCCTTTAAGATTTGGCCCATATGCTCCCATTTCTTTCTTGAACTCCCTCACATCTCCTGAGTTAAGAGGTACCTCCACATAACCTATTCCCGGAATTTCGGCTGGTTGTCCCTGCTGACCAGCACTGGGGTTAGGGATTATTCCCAAAGCTACTTCCCTTAATAGATACAGAGCTTGCCCTTCCCTTTCTCTTTCCCCCCTTGTTAGACTACGAGTAACGTGGTGATTTTTCTCAGGGACCGGCTCTGGGATTTTTATCTCTTAGTTATCAAAATCTCCCCCTTGATCCAAATCGGGGTAGACTGCGGGTGGTGCTGGTGGGGGTGGAGGAGGGGGAGGTACGTATGGTAGAGGGGGTGCAGTTGGAACTTCCTCAGGCTTTTTATTTTTCTTTTTCCCTCCCTGGGTGCTTAAGGCAAAAAGTTTTGCTCTTGTTTCCCCCACTATCCAGAGAGCAGCATACTTGCTCTCTTCCATATCAAAAGGTTCTTTAGAGTTTACATAAATGTTTAATGCCTGGTAAATCCAGTCCTCAAAGCTTCCAAACACTGGCCAAAATAAATTATCACTACGGATTTGTTTCCCTCCCCATACTTTTATACAATAATGTATCATTTTTGCCTTATCCTTCCCTTTTCTTGAAGGATATTCATCCCAAGATTTTATCATTAGACCTAACGGACTGTCAGGGGGTATCTGGGGAAGCTTCAGCGGGGTCCCCCTCCCCATGGAAGCAGAGGGCTTGCTTTTCCTCTCTCCCATCTTCCAGGACACCTTCACGCACACACACACTCGCGGCCCCCTGTTTGTGGCCCAGCCCCTCTCGGGGTCTGGAAACTGCACTACTTAGAGGTCCGCACTTGCCTCGTCCTAAAAGGACGTCTCATGCGTTATGTCCTGGGATCCCAACCCCAACCGAGCGGATCCCCACTTTTAGACTCATGCTGTCCTGTGTCTTCGCCTGGGCTTCATGCACAAAGATTACGGGGTTACCTTTTGCTTAATACCAAATTTAGGTTCGTCAGTAAGGGTCCGGGAATGCAAAGCCTGCACCAGGGCTGCTGCAGAGGCAGCAGGACGCCTCCCTGATTAGGAATTCCCACCCGGTCGCCCTTATCCAAGTCACGGCACCAAATTTGTTATGGACAAATTCAATTGTGGAGGCTAATTATAGATAAATCAATTAACAAGAATTTATTAAGCAAGCAGTATTAAGCAAAAGAACAACGCTGGGCGGCCGGGGAGTCTCTGCTCTGCCACGGCGCACCTTCCCCCTTTGACCTTTTTGTTTTTATAGTCCCTTTTTTTTTCCAGTTGATGTATTTTCTGTCGATGCACTCTGCGCCGGTGCAATTGGGTGCTAGGGGGTCTTTTTTCTGCCCTTGGTGGTCATAGGAATGAAGGCTCCTCATCTTCCTTGCAGATTGTCCTTGGCCTAAAAGTTAACTTGTATATAATTAGTTACACAGTCTGCTATGCTACTTGCATCTGCACAATTCTTAAGCAGAATACTTGCTGTTTCCCCACCTTTCTCTTTCACCTCACACATCTTGAGATTCCCTACTCAGTTCAAATTCTTATCTCTTTCAATGCTCGTTTTGATGAGCAAAGACCTTTTTATTTATTATACTCTGGACATCTTAGCCCTCAGTCTAGAGGAGCTGTAGACTATATAGAGGAAGTTTACTAGATTAAATACGAGGAAAGTGGTCTCTTTAACATTCAGGGGAAACTGAACCTTTTCAAAAAGAGACTTAACAGATTCAAAGGAGAAGAAGGAAAGGAAAGGCTGGAAAGATTCATCCCTTGTTTTTCATCTAATAAACTGTGTGTAATTTCTAATAAACCCCCAAAACATGCTACTGGAACTGGGACATAGGGTAGGATGGAGAAACTATAAACCAAATATATCTTGAACAGACTTCAGTACTTTTGTAAACTCCCTATAAATTATTATTACTGAGCCTAGCACAATAGCTATTCAAACCCATGCCCCTCTACTGGAAAAGCTATGGATTAGAACAATAGTGGAGCTGTTTTCAGATAAGAAAATAATCCTAGTGCCTAGAAAGTTATTACAACTTCAAAAAAGCCTTGGGACTAGAAATACATGAAGGCCCCCACCCCGAGAGACATTACCACTTCAAGTAACATCGTTACTGACTGCTTTGTGCCACTACAGAGTAAGCACAACCAAAATGCAATCATTACAGGTTTTTCTTCTTTCTTGGGCCTCACATTGGGTGCCAAAAATGGTTGGTTTAGGGTAAAATTAGTGGTTTTTTTAGAAAGTAGATTTAATTGGCCCATCCCCCAACCGGTATGGGAAAAAATACTTCTTTGGAGAGAAGTGACAATAAGAGAAGGAGTTAACAAGAATGCAACTTCTTTATTGCTGAAGTTCAATACTAAATTCTGTAATCTTAGACTAACTAATCCTATGTTTTTAACAAATAATCATCTACTCAATCCTAACTTGAAGAATCCTAAAAGCTTAATCTTCTTTTAAAATAAAACAGCCCGAGTTCATAGATGTTTCCTTGCTGAAGTAGACAGCTGGTGCCAGGACTCCACTTGCTGCTTGCCAAATTCAGATACTCATTGCTGAATGTGGGACAGCTTTTTGTGGAGGTACTGGCATCTGCTCCTCATCTCAGAGTAGCTGGGGCTACCCTAGGAAGGAGAAATCAAAAGAAAATTAGGGCATGTCAACATTTATGCAGAGTTTAGAATTTCATGACCTTTTCTTTAAAATAGCCTTGAGGCAGACTCAGAGGTTACCAAGCCAGGCCAGTCTGGTTTTATTCATGTAAAAAAATAAAATTACTCTCAGTTTGACTTTGGAGGTATTTTTCTCTGTGAGCCACCATCCTTCTGGGAAATTTGCAAACTGAGCCTGTTGTATTACAGACCCAAGAACAAACTCTAGACAAGTCTGAAACCACAACAACAACAACAACCCAAAGCACAGCAGCTCCTAAAGAGGGCAAGACTCATTAACGCTTAAAGCCACTGAAGGGAGTCAAGCCTTCTTCAATCCCTTCTCCCTCAAATCAACAGGTGTGAGGTTTATCAAGCTCATGATACAAATCCAAGATGAAGTGGCAATGAGAATAATAGATGCCACATCCAAACACTGTCACACCAAAGCTTCTGCTCCTCTGGGCCTGAAGATCGGTTCTCTTTGCAATGACAAAAACTCATTCCACATGGGAATAAACACTTCAAACCATCCTGAGATAAATATTTACAAGGAATAAATCTTTAACAAGTTAAAATTCAGTGCAAGGACAGACAACAACATATGCCAGGGATGCATCCCAGGCCAGATGCACCTGACTGGTGTGCAGGATAAGTTTGAAAATAAAACTACAGATGCCTGTCAACATTTTGGGAGGTTCCCGAGAAGCAGTAGCTTCGACTACTGGCCTCTGCCCAGTGACATTTGCTAGCAAGAGCCCGAGCACAGGCCTCACTGCACTGCTCCCCTGCAGGGCCAGGCTTGCCCTCAGCCTTCCACAGAGCATCCCTGGCTGCACCCAGTGGGGCCCAGGGCCCTGCCTGCTCCAAAGGCCACAGCTGCCCCAGAGCCCCAGAGCTGCAGGAGGCCTGACTGCCCTTGCCAACACCACTGCTCTGAGACAAGCTGGGAGCAATTTCCAGTGTTTTATACCACACACACACACACACACATTTCTCCCTCCCCTCCTGCACTGCAAATACGATGAGGGGATGCAGCAGCACTGCTGCAGCTGAGCCTGTGCAGCTGCACTGCAGGAAGGGAGGGCCCATCCGGGCCTAACCCACTTCGGTGTTCATCTCAGCACTTCTCCCCACCTGGCCCATCTCCTCCTTTAGCTTTCTACCTCCTTAGCTGACATTTACTATTAAAGAATGTCTGTACTATTGACTCTGGAATATGGTCTTTCTTGCACCTTAATTCATGCAGAGGCTTCTCTTAATCATCAAATCTTTACTCCATCGTTATCCACACTGGAGTTAGGAAAAGCTGCACATTGGTACCTTCATGGAGATCCAAGGGACACTACTGCTTCAGCCTCCCGAATTCTCTTCACATCTTTTTTGACATGGTAGTCTTCAACACACGAGTGCTGTCATGGTAGAACTCAGAAATTTGTGTCTTTCTTGAACCTAAAGGGTGCAGGGGAAATGGAGCCGACATTTGCAGACAGGTAGGAAGTAGAACGGGATGTCACAGCCAGCACCCAGGAAGAAGAGTGGCCACCAGGTTCTGCCTGGAGGTAACTGAGCTACTGCTCAATCCTCCACTTCTTGCTCATCGCAGGACTGGTCAAGCCAGAAGCACAAGGCCGTTTCTACAACAATAACAAAACAGTTCATTAATCTCTGACCCAGATCAGGTTTTGCTCCCATTGTAAAAAAGCAGGATTTGTGAACTGGCAAAGGTTGAAAACACATGTTTTTTAAATAAAAATAGCTGTCAAACATGGAGGACCTCCAGGTAAATATCTGCTCTATTGCATTCCTAGTTTCTCATCTTAGGACTTAGCCAGTCCTTCTCCAAGTCTACTGCTAAAAGGCTTTGGGAAGTAGACACTCCCTTCAGCAGCTCCAGCAAAGCCTCCCCAAAGGGGAGGTCCAGTGAGTTTTATCTGGGTCCCAATTTCTGCTTGCACACACCAGGAACAGACTCAGCTTTTGCTGTCAAACATCCACATGATTTACTGAAGAGGCACCTGGCTGTTTTAGAGTTTTATGTGTTAAAAACGAGACTAGTGCTTCCCTCTTAGAATCCAGGAGTACAGGGTGTGATGGTCGGTTGTGAATTCTCATCAGGATGAACAAAGACAGCAGCCACATGTCAGGAAACTCTTGTGCTTTTGGGAGCAGCTGTCGTAAATCCAGCAAGCTACCTGCTGTGCAGACTCAAAAGCTGCTGGCTAACAAGCCCTTGAATTTGTACAAGAGAGTGTCACAAGTGGTTACCAACAAGCCCTCACTGTTGCTCAGTGCCCTTCAATCATCTCTCAGCTCCTCCCAAGGACCTTCTCACAGCTGCTGACTCACAAGCCACAACACAGAGCCACAAGCTCCCCACAGCCACAGCAACTTCCAAACTGAGGATGGAGTAAAACAGGACAGCCGTGTGTGCCCAGGCAGAGTGAGGGAGGGGAGAAACAGAGGCAGAGCAGGGACTGAGGAAATATCACCATTCTGTAGCTCCTGTGTTGGTGCAGCCACGTGGATAGTGCAGAGCTGGAGTCAGCAATGAGAGTGACAGAGAGACAGAGGGACAAGAGAGAGAGAGGGCCCCATCTGCCCCACCCTGCTGCAGCCTCTTATGTACAGGAGATTTTTCCTGCAGAGCCAGCCCTTTGAGGCCTCCTCCAGGGAATGAGTTGAGGGTGGGGACTGAGCTCAAGTCTTCAGGCAGAGCAGAAATTTGGCTCAGGACAGTGCTGCTCCACCCCTGCAGGATCCTCTCTTCTCATCACAGCCTTCCTGTCACAGCACTTGCAATGTCTGAGGCAAACCATGCTTAGGCCTGGTCCTGCACATTCACATCACACCTTTTATACCACCAGCAAGTCTGCTGAAACTTTAATACAGTGTACAGAATGTTAAAAATGCACAAAATACCTGAACAGGTCTTGCTGGAGCATCTCTCTCAGAAGGCCCTGGAGATGTTGCTTGGCTGCTGCTGGTGGGGTTCTGAGATGGAGCTGCTTTTCTGTAAGGATGGTCCAATATTTCAAGTTACAAGGCCTAAATGTCAACTGCCATAGTCCTTTCCTTGCAGACCTTCAGTGCCAGGACTCCAGGAAAGAGCATGAAGCTGAGTTGAGGGAGCTTTAGGCAGGATATCAGGAAAACATTCATGCCCCAGAGGGTGCTTGAGCACTGCAACAGGCTCCCCAGGCCAGTGGTCACTGCAGCAAGGCTTCAGGAAGTGTTTGGATAGCACTCTTGGGCACCTGGTGTGATTCTTGTGGTGTCCTGTGCAGGGCCAGGATCCTGGCAGGTCCCTGCTGCCTCAGCATATTCTAAGAACCTAGGCTTCATTTCCCAGGGCTTTCTTCTGAAAAGGCTCTTTTCCTTCCCCAAAAGACTGAACTTACCTAGAAAGTATTAACTTCAAATTCGCTCTCTCGGTTTTGCTGTAGCCAGGCCAATCAGTCTGAAGGGCTGGAAACAGATGTTCCTTCAGACTGAAGGAATTATCCTTTGCATTCACGTCAGCAACCTACAGGCAGACATTTCGGAAAACAAATGTTCATTACGCCCATATATGCAAACTACAGAAACCTAAATGGGCTACTTGAGTTGGGATGGCAAAATGTGGCTCTCATTATATCGGGAATGTCTTCAGGGTGAAAAATCCCTGCCACTGCCCTGGGCAAACACAGCAACAAACCTCACAGGTTCAGGGAATCAGTTCCTTAAAGTGACTGTAGGATCAACTGAAAGTGTATCCATGTTGAATTTGAGTCCTTTGACTAGGTTCCAAAATGCTTTTTCCTAGCTAAAGAGGAACTAGTCCTATTGGATATATTAATGTTTGCATTATTCAGCAAAAGCCTCTGTGGATGGGGAATATTTAAAAAGGAAGGAAGGATCTACTGCATCTTTCAATGGGTGTGCGTTATGAAAGCCTATGAGAAAGTCATCCTAGTGGAACTTAACTCGAAGGAGTATTGGAAAAGTCTCTAATTTAAACAGGCGTGGAAGTAGAAAAATTATGAACGGCAGAATAGCATGATGGAAGAAGTGCTGGCACAAGCTCCACGATCTCACCTCCTGAAGGATTTTTCCAAGGGAATCCTTGTCCTTTTGCCTGACTCCATCTCTCTGCAGCCGAGCAAGTAACTCTGGCTCCTTGTAATCCCTCAGAGCAAGTAAATGAATCACCCTGTCCCTGTAGGGTCGGCCGTAAACAGCAGCGCAACCGCTCCAGTCAATGTCTGCAAGTCTCACAGACATCATCCTCTTCTTCTCAGGCACAGGACCTGAATTGCTTTGCTGGGCTCCTCTGACCACTGCTTTTGCTCCTAAAGAGAGGGAAAACCAGAAACAAATAGTTCAAATGGGAGGTTTGGAGAAGGCAAGGAAGCTGATTCAAAAGGATGTACCAAGACTTTTGAGCCTCTATTTGTCCGTCATTTACAGATCTCCAAGCATCCAAAGAGTAAAGCATTAAAAAGAAACAGTCATTAAAAGCTGGTAAAGGAGTGATGCTGGATGGGAAGTTTTTAGGAAAAAATATTTTTATGCATTTTACTTTTATATGATTTCCCCAGTTTGTAAGCTCAAGCATTCAGCTATCTCTAGAATGACACTAAGTGCACCCTCAGCAAGTGCATCCTCTAGAATGGATTAGGTGCACCCTCAGCAAGTTTGCCAAAACCAGAGGCATGGGATGCCATCTGGAAGGACCAAGAAGTAGGGCCTTTGGAACCTCATCAGATTCAACAAGGCCAAGTGCAAAGGGCTGCATCTTTGGGTTTCGGACATTCCCTGACACCAAGACAGGCTTGGGGATGAAGGTGGGGAGGACTTGGAGGTGCTGGTGGATGGGAGGCTAGATATGACTAAAAAACCATACGGATATCCAGTAAAAAATTAAATGGAAGCATATCTAAAAGTGGTCCATCAGTTTAATACCCTTTGCACTTGGATTGTGTGACTCCTTTTCTGCTTGGGTGCTGCACTCTCTGCTCATCTCTTTGGCTTTGCTCATGGCAAGCATTGTATCGAAACCCAAAGGATGGGATTTTTTCACCCTGTCTAACTCTGTTTCCTCACCTTTGGAGCTGGGAATCTTCCGCTGCACCCTGACAGGCGCTGGGATTCCAGATGGAGTCCGAATTTTATCTTTCTCTTGGAGCTGACAGGTGGAGGTGGAAATGGAGCTGACACTTGGAGCCAGGTTCAAAGTTGAGCAGGATGTGGAAGGCAGGTCCAAGGAAGAAGGAGAGTGGCCACCAGCTGCTGACTGGATACCATGGGGCTCTTGGTCAATCCTCTGCTTCTTGGTCATCACAGGATGGATAAAGGCAGAAGCCAGAGGCCGTTTCTGCAAAGATGATGCCAATTAGGTTTGCTTTGAAAAAGCAGCATTTCTGACCTGGCAATGGTTGAACGCACACCTTTCTTACCTAAAACGGCCTGTCATACAAGGAGGTGCTGCAGCTCAATATGTTCTCTATTTCATTCCTACTTTCTCACCTGAGTATTCAGCAAGTCCTCCTCCAGCTCTGTAGCTAAATGGCTTTGGGAAAAAGACATTCCCTTCAGCACCTCTATCAAAGGCTTCCCCAAAATGAGGAGCTCAGGTTGGTTTTATCTTGCTCCCTATTTCTGCTTAGACACACCAGGAACACACTCTACTCTTGCTGTCACACAGCCACACCATTCACTAAAGTGGCCCCAAGAAGCCACTGGTGCGGTGCTGATCACAGCGTGTCCAGTGCAGAGATGATAACAACAGAGAGAAGCCCCAGTCTGGCTGCAGGTCTCATTCCTGCTGCTCTCCAGAGGAAACCCTGGATCACAGCCTCTTCCCTACCAAGCACACACTGCTCCCACCATCAGCAGCTCAGAGCAGGACTGCCAGACACAGCTCTGTGCCAGCCTGCTGACAGAAGTGCTGTAGGCACGGAGGTAGGACATAAGAGGATGCTGGGCCCTGCAGCACTTCCTGCTCTGGCTGGGAAAAGAGCTAGGGAAAACCAGGGCTGTTTAAAGAGAATTCTTTAAGGTATAGAAAAGATACCTTTCAAGCAGGGTTTTCCAAGATTCTTTCAAAACTTTTTCCTTGCCCCCTTGTATTGGCCATCTCTTGATTTTAAGCCTGACAAGTCCAAGGTATTCCCTAATGATTCCAAGTCCCCTCCTCACACATGGGATAGCCTGAATCAAAATGGGAGCCTAAATGCTGCTTAGGACAGAAAAACAAGTTTCCTAGAAACGCCTCAGTACTGGAATTTGTCCTTATGCTAGACTTCCCTAAGATTTCTCTTCAAACATGATTTAGGTACTAGAGCTGCCATATCATCAAGAACCCTGCACAGACACAGCTAGGAACCAAAACCATGTCTACATCTTGTCCTTAGCAGAGTTTCCTATGCACCATGACAAACAAATCACGGGTGCAAGCTTGTTGCAGGCTTTGACATTGTAACCATCTTGAAAAGTATACAGGAATCCCATTAGAAGTACACACTTCAGGTTTCTATGATGTACAGACACTAGTGCTTCATACCACAGCTTGGACACCAAGAGCAAGTGGGATAAAACATCATATATGGTAGAGAATGTTTAAAAATTCACAAAATACCTGAGCAGTTCTCGGTGGAGTATTTCTTTCAGAAGGTCCCAGAGACAGTGACTGGCTGGTGCTGGTGGCATTTGGAGATGGAGCTGTTTTTCTGTAAGGATGGTCCAGCATTTCAGGTTACAAGGCAAAAATATCAACAGTCCTTGTTCTTTCCTCACAGCAAAAACAGACCTTCATTTCCCAGAGGGTTTTTTTGAAATGGTTGTTGTCCTGGCTGAACTTACTGAAAAAGGGTCACCTCCAATGTCTTTCTATCTCTTTCACTGTAGCCAGGCCAATCAACATGAATGTCTTTGAAGAAATGTTCCTTCAGACTGAAAGAATTCTCATTTGCATCCAGGTTGGCTACCTAGGGGCAGACATTTAAAACATCAATATTCATTGCACCTAAAGGCAGACTACAGATGTAAAACTGGTAGTACAGAGCTAAAGCAAAGCTGAAAAGAAAATCATGCACCAGTTTTCCAGGACTTTTGTTTGATGTGAAGAACAAAGCAGCTGTCATGTAAGAGGCAACAATATTAAACAGGTGTGGTCCATTTGGGCTGTAGAAATTTGGATGTAAGTAAATGCCAAACTGCTGCAAGCATGGAGGAAATGGAGGCTATGAAAATCTCTCCCTGCACCAGGGATCCAGGTTTTTTGGTCTTTAACGCAGCTTTGAGAATCAAGGTACACTATGCCAGAACTTCACATTTGAAATACATGGAGAGACCAGGTTTTTCCTTTCTGTTTTCCTTTTTTCAGGAGTAGGACCTGAAGAACATCATCCCCATGAGCAAGTCCATATTTTTCCACTCTCAGGAGGACACCTGCTGCCCTCTTGATTCACCCAGCTACATTGCCATGGCAGAACACAGCCTGGACCTGTAATGGGGCAGGTTTTCATCATCCCATGAAGCACCACAGGATGTTGGCATTTGTCTCTGCAAACAGAACTGCTTTTCTTTCTCAAGTGTCTGCTCAGAGGAAACTGCAGCTTCCTATGGAACACTTATAGGAGATAACCTACCTAGAGCTACACTTCAACAGCTTAAAAGGAACAAAGATGCCCAGAATCAGGAATTCACTTTTTAAAAGCAGAACTCAGGCTGTGTTGGAAGAGAAGGAAGGTTGTGAATAGAAGAGCTCAGCAAGTTCTCCCTACTGGTTTTTCACGTATAGCAAAAAACACCACCATCTCCCTATGAAGTTAAAAGAAATGTAAATAACAGTTTTCAGGATGTAGTGCTGTTCACACAGCCCTTTCAGAATGCAAACCAGTATCTCCAGGCAGTTCACACTGCAAACAAGAAAATACTCCTTCAAAATCTCCTTAAACATTAACAAGAACAAACAGAAAGGAGACATTTTTTTCATCTCTTACCCTCTAAGGAGCTGAGCTTTGAAGTCTTATCATCACCTGTTTCGTAGCTATAAAGGAAATATTGCTACTTGATATGGTAATGCTTGCATAATTCAGCAACAGCCTACATTGATGGGGAATATTGAAAAAGGAGGAAACAGCCACTGCATCCTTCAGTCCATGTGAATTGTATGAATGGCTGTAATAAAGAAATACCAGTGGCGCTAAAAGGACAACTGGAAAATTATGAGAAATAATAGGTGCCGAGGAAGTCGACAACTCAATTCACACAACAGCAAAGCAACTCTGTGTTCAAAGTTGGGCCACCATCTTTATCATGTAGGATTTTCCTGGAACACCCTTCCCTGGAAGGCAATCCCCACAGTAGAAGCAAATACCATTGAGAGGCCACCAAGTCCCTTCAAATGAAATACTGCCCTATGCGGCCACCAAAATTCTCTCCTCTGAAACTTGTCCCAGGGTATTTTAAGGACCTCAGCTAAGTGTTTCACCCAGTTGAGAGTTTCACCCTGTGAAGTTACTTCATGAAGCAGTTTACCAGTGCAAGGAAAAGAGGGAGGATTAAAATAAGGCATGAGAAGCAACAACATTACAAAGAATTTATCATTGCCAGGTATTCTAGAAGAACAACAACAAGGCCTCCAAAGTTTTGAAGGTTTCTTTCTTTTTGTCACATGGACTTGCAGTTGGGTGGAAACTGAGTAAAGTTGATGGGAAAATGCAAAGGGCATTTCCTAAGCTTCTCATTAGTTTCTAATTGAAACCCTGAAGTAAGACTGCTAAGAGTTAGCATTGCTGGCAGCAGCCCCAGGATCTCACCTCCTGAAGGATCTTTCCAAGGGACTCCTTGTCCTTTTCCACAACTCCCTCTCTCTCTAAGCAGGTAAGTAACTCTGACTTCTTGTAATTCTTCAGAGCCAGTAAATGAATCACCCTGTCTCTGATGGGTCGTTGAGAAACAGCACTGAAAAGTCTCCGGATGTATTTTGCAGGGTTCATGGGCATCGTTCTCTTCCTCTCAGGCACAAGATCTGGAGAGCTGTGTGGGGCTCTCCTGAGCTCTGGTATTTTCACTTCAGTAAAGAAAAAACAGAAAATGAATTGTCAAACGGGGAGTGGGAGGAATCAAGGTAGTTGATGCAAAACGAAGTACCGAGACTGTGGAAACTCTATTTGTTCAGAATGTATAGATCAGTACAAATCCAGACAGTAAAGCATTAGGAAGAAACAGTCATTAAAAATACCGTGTGAAGGAGTGATACTGGAGGGGAGGTATTTATGGAAAACTCTTTATATGCATGGTGGTTTTTGTATTTCTCCAGTTTGTAAGCTCAAGCACTAAGCTATGTCAAGAATGATATGGACGGGGGGATTAAATGCTTCTTTGGCAAGTTTGACAACACCAGAGGTCTGGGATGCAATCCAGAGGGACATGGAGAACCTTGGCAAGTAGGGCCCTGGGAACCTCATCAGATTCAACAAGGCCAAGTGCAAAGAGCTGCATCTTTGGGATTGGGACATGCCCTATCCCAGCTGGGCATGGATGCTGGGATGGGATGAGGAGCCTGGGATGAAGGTGGGGAGGACCTGGGGGTGCTGGTGGATGAGAGGCTGGGCATGAGCTGGAAACATGTGCTGGCAGCCCAGAAAGACAACTGTGTCCTGGGCTGCATCAGGTGAAACGTGGCCAGCAGGTCAAGGGAGGGGATATGACAGAGCAAGCAGTGTTTGAAACCAGGAACTCGTGCTTAGTGGCTGATGGAGACTTGATGCATATTGGTGAGAAATCCGGGAGCTTTGTCTCTTCCATCCCACACACAGAGACTGACCTTTCTTGACACGCTCCTTCAGTCTTTCAATGTAGGTCAAATTTTTAATGCCTTTCTCCACTTCCTGTTCCTTGGACCATGCCTCTCTATTTGTCTGCAAACCTAATTGCACAAACATCACACACTTCAATTATTTAGAGCACTGTAAACATGCCAGTTGTCGAGTGAAGACACCGCTAATGTTTTGAGAAGTTCAATCCAATGTGGATAGAGAAACTTCCTACAGCATTCAAACAAAACACCTCCTAAAACCATACCCCTGAATGACTTCTAACAAAAATTACCTGAAGCCATAAGCAAGCATTAAGATCAAAATTAGGTAAGAGTTCTTCACCCAGAGGGTGATCAGGCATTGGGACAGGCTCCCCACAAGACTGCTCATGGTACCAAGTCCACTAGAGCTCAGAAAACATTTGGACAAGTTCCACAGGCACCTGGTGGGATTCTTGGGGACAGAGCTGCACTTGCATATCCTTGTGGATCCCTTCCAAGTCTGATTCTGATTCTCTGATTCTGTGACAAAGCCCAGTCCCTAACTGGTACAGCATGGAGCATGTTGCAAAGGCACCCTGTACCCTAGCAGCAACCAGACCTGTCTCACCTGAGCTTCTCTGTGCCAGCCTAAAGCCAAAGCAGCACCAAGTTCCACAATTGTCTCACTACTGCCAGTCCTCACACCCCAGTTACTGAATGCTAAATATTCCCTTAGGGTCTGTGTAGACCACCACCAAGAATCACACAAATCATCATTCACATGTGAAACAGAATGTCCCCAATGAGAAATGTGAAGTTTAGTTTTGTCTCTGCAAAAAGCCACCATGGTGCTAGTTTAAAATGCTCTGCAGTAGGCTAAGGCAGAGCAAGAGCTGCACTTGCAGTGGCAGGGAAGTCCCTGCAGGCAGGTGACTGCAGCCACAGCCAGGTGAGAGCCTGCTTTCCTCAGGGCAGCTGGCTGTACCTGGCTCAGCTCACTGCTGCAGGCAGCACCACTGAGTGCCTGTAAGGGGAATGTGCACCTCGAGTCTGCCTGGAACCAGACTCCTTGGGGAAACAGCATTGAGAACACATTAATAACAAATGACATCACCTAAGCACCTTGTGCTTTGTGGGAAATGATGGAATCCGTGGGGAAGATGACATCAATATCTTCCTTTCGATTGCCTTGAAAAGAACCCAACACTGTGTTGCGGCAACACTCACTTATTAACGACCAAGAGAAAAAATTAAATCAAGCAAAGTTTCCCAAGCTGACCTTATGAAATCCTCTATGCAACTTTCTCAAGGTTGCATAGGTTTTCCCAATTAAATTTAGAGGATAATGACAGTGCCTAGATACTCCAAAAGCAAAATCTTAGCTACCAAGGCAGTGAATTTAGGTGCATGGAGTAGTCCAAGTCCATCCCATCAACCAGTATGCAAACAAGGAAGGTCTAGCAGGTTTTCTCAGGGGAAAACAAACCAGTGGCTAAATGTAGTGGCAAGAGACTGCAAGGTTGACCTGAGGGCATACCACCTCCAGTCGAGATCTCTGAACACAAGAGATCCCCTGTCCCAAGAATATGCTGCAAAAATGAGTTACCAAGTTGAAAATCTTACCGACACTGAGCAAAATGTGAAAAACAATCATACCTCCAGCTGGGTTATACAAGTTGACATTCTGCGCACTTCCATTGTGCGATGCCTTGCTGGCATTTGGCTAAAAGGAAAAAGATATTTTCTGTAAAAACTTCAGCCTGCTCTCCATCACTGCTGATTAACTAGGCCCTTTGTTTTAAACAAGAGCTGTATTTGCAAAGGTTTGCTGTCACATCACTAGAAAGGGCTGCTTTGACACAGTTCTCCCTCTGCAAGCAGCCGGCTACAAAACTGCCCTGAGAGAGCAACCCTCACTTGGCCTCTAACGCAGCCAAGTGTTCAAGTAGCAAGTCATCCTTTCCCAGTTGCCGGAATTTATAGGCACAGGCTGCCCTTGAAATCAAGTACCTGAGTACAACTGAACTGGCCAGTGTCCAGCTAACAATCCAGGTGAGAGTGGTTCACAAAAATATAAGAATTTTGGACACGACCTGATGCTGGGATTTATTTGGTACTAAGGAAGCACATCTTAGAGTCAGCTCCAAGAAGAATTTCATCTGCATAAGGTGAATTTTGACTCTCAACAGGCATGAAAGCCCTTTCTCTTGTCCTCAGCTCTAGATGCAATTCTTTGAAGCTGTGAAATGGAAGCAGTTTATCCTAGGTTAATCAGATATAACAAAATTTGGGTTGCTTGTCTGATCTCATAATTAATACAGAATGCATCACATTCTGCGGGAGGTTAAAAATCACTGAAATGTTCATCAGTCTAAGTACATTTTTTAACAAAAACAACTACTGCCATCCACCTGCTTCATTCTGTAGGCAAAATTGTCTGAGATAAAAATCTAAAAAGCTATGATAAATGGACTGAAAGATGTGAATTAATTACCATGAGAAGGGAGACATCAATACCAAAGAGAAGATAGAATATTACTTAATTGAAGAAATTATGTAATTTAGAACCAATGAAGATTAATTGGTTTTTTGGGGGTTTTTTGGGGGGGGTTTTTTGGGGTTTTGTTTGTTTGTTTGTTTGGTTGGTTTTTGTTTGTTTGGTTTTTTTTTTTTTGCTAAAAATGCTGAAATTTCTTTGTTTGGAAAAGCTTTGAAAACGGTGTGCATGTGGCTGGAGTTCTCCACTATCATCACAGCTGAGCATAAATACTAAATACTAATACTAAAAAATACTGTTAGAGAGTTTCCTTTATCCTGACATGTTCGGTGAGTGCAGTACAAACATGGAACAATGAGAAATCCATGCATTTTGACCAAGAGCCATGCCCAGAGCATGAATTTCCTGAGTGTCCCAGCACTGAGAACATCTGACTTTCACTGGAACCTCCTCAGTGCAATCCCTGAGAAACACATCCATCAGAGAACTTCCCACTTCCACTGGCACCTCTTCCGTGTCATCCCTGTGAGTGGCTTCCCCCCGGGCAGCTGCCTCAAAGGGGCCCTTGGAGCACCAGTGGGGCCCCAGCCCTGCCCAACAGGTCCCGTGGGGTCAGCAGCACCTGACACCAACACCATGGCCAAGCCCCCACCCGCTGGCAGCCCGCAGAGCCCGACACCTGCCCCTCACCTCTTGGTCCTGGGACCTCTGGGTCACCCTGACGGGCACGGCAGGGCTCTTGGGGGCCCTGCGGGACGCAGTGCAGACTGGGGCCCTGTGGAACGCTCTGGATCGTGCCCAGGCCCACAGCTCCGCCATCCTGCTCTGCCTCGGGTGCTCCGGCTCCCACACAGCCACTGGTCCTGCTGAAGAGTCTGCAAAATGCAAAATATTTGTCAGGAAAATGTGTTCTTTAAAGTTTGTCCTTGTTGATGGCTTTCAAGGCCCATCAACAAGAAGGGAGGTTATTCCCATGAAACAAGAAGTAGCCAACGAGTGATGGCCAGGCCTTTGAAAGGCAGGTTACTTCTTGGCTGGATTGCCTTGTTGGGGTGCAGGGCTTGACAGGCTTCAGCTACCTCAGACACCGGGGAGGTTAGCAAGGCTTGGGAAGAAGGATGTACCACTGATGGTGGGCACAAAGAATGCAGATTTAGGGACACAAGGACATTTGGCAGAAGCCCCAAGGAAAGGAACAAACTGATAAAGCCAATGCAGAAACTGCGCTGAATCACCTCCTGTGAGGTAAAAGGTCATTCCAGCAGGGGCAGACCATGGCCATGCGCTCCAGAAGCCATTGACATAAAAGAAGGGAGAGACTGAGCATGCAGACTAATGAACATGAGAAGTGAGAGGATCATTACCCAACAGCAGACAGAATACTAATTATGAAGAGAACTAGGGAACTTGCAGTCAATGAACACTAATTCCTTTCTTTGCTAAAACGTAGAAATACTAAGACACTCTACTTCTTGGGGCGCTGGCTTTGTGAATTTGTCCCTGAGCCCCCCATTTCTGCACAGAACTGTAAATAATTACCTCCACTCAGTGTGTGGATCAGCCTCTTGACCAACGTGTGCTAGAACCAGCTAAACTGGAACAACACTCGCTCTCGCTCTGACACCTCCGCTCTCAACGCAGCGGCCGAAGGGTCTGAGCAGTCCTGCTCTGTGCTGGTGACAATGGCCACCTGTCCTTGGAAACGGGGATTTTTTCACTGCTGTTTCTAGTAAATTGTTCTTATCTCAACCTGTGATCTTTACCTACTTGTGCTCTTCTATCCTCCTGCCACAGGAAAAGTGGTGGGGAAGTCAGTGAGTGGCACGTGGTCTGATCTGTATCAGTGTGAGCACAAAACTGGGGAATACCATTCCTACACTGCAACAATGTGGAAAAATCAATTTCCTAAGTTACTTTCCTTGTCTAGTCCTACAGGAAAATTAGCCTGCTGAAAAGCAACTGCTGTCATTGAGCTGAAAGCCTGCTAGGTAATTCCTGTTTTAAAGTACAGATTTAATAAAATTACACAGAAAGCAAAAATTAAATATTGATAAATAGTCTTTATAATAACATTTTAAATTTTTTTAAAATCTATGATGGGAGAAATTCCTGTGACCTTTTTTGGTCCCACAGTGACAAAGAATTCTATAAAGCAAATTACAACTGAATATTTTCAGCCTCTAAAAATAAGTTAAGCAAAATAGTAGAAAGAGTTACATCTGAGTTGCATTTCCAAAGCAGATGGTTTACTTTAATGGTTAAGGCTAAAGAATGGGAAATGAGAGAATCTGTGTGTTGAAAAAAAACCACCCATAATGGAACTGTGCAAATGCACTCTGTTCCTCCCTGAAATGGAAAGTCTCATATTCAAAATATCATTGAAAGTTGAGGCCATGATTTCAAGAGATTGAATGGCAATCAGCTGTGTCATAAGTCATTAAAGAGAGCAGTACTGATCTGACTTCACAGGTGTCTGAATGAATGACAGAACAGAAAATCAATACATTCCTAATCATGTTTTCTTGGATAAGTCAGATTTTCCAGAGGATTCAGAAAACAGGTTTGGGCTTGGTTTTTTCTCCCTCTAAAAAATGGCCATAAGAGTTCTTGCTTTTGCTTAGTTCTGAAGGATCACTCGGCTACGATCAAGGGCAAAGATAGCAGATTCCAAAAAGATGGCTTTGATTTTCAGACTTTTCACAGACAAAATACCATGACAGAAAAAATTAAAATTCAGACACCACTTTGCTCTCCATTAAACCACAAACCCACACTCTGACCTAACCCTAAGCCTAAACCCACACCCTAACCTAACCCTAAACCCACACTCTACCCTAACCCTAACCCTTCTCATTAATACAAACACAGAAACACTGACAGCCTTGGTTGGCAGAAAAAGGAAAACTGATTTCTCGACAACTCATTGAGAGCAGTCAATTTAAAGCCCCTGCCCTGGGTTTCACTGCCACTCCCCACCTGTGCCCATCCCTGCAGGGCAGGACCAGTATCAGGAGGACCTGTGGCAAGAGGTGGTGACAGTAGCAGGTCCCTCTGCCCGGGGCAGAAGGCACAGCACCTCTGCTCCTGGCTGGAACAGGGGCCCCTTGCCCGGGGGCACATGGTGTCCCAAAAAGAGGAGGGGCCTCAGCAAGAGGCCAATCCAC